ATGGTTATCTTCTGAATCACAGTAATTTGTATGAAAACCCTTCAACATTGTTTTATTTATGAATTTAGACACTGTAATTTATACTGGGAGTTGAGAAAACAGAATAGTGAGAAAACTGCTTCCATTAAATTCAGTCAGAATATAGCCACGTTTAATTTGTGCAAAATACAACCTGAATAATTTAGAGTTTAAAAGCAACAAAGAAAAATGAGACGTGGTATTATTACTGTATTACCTAATAGCCTTCCAAACAAGGTGTAACCCAATTAATAGAAACATGTAACTAGATGCTAAGACAATGACACAGTTGCTAATTTGTAGAATTATTTTTACAGCCACAGTTCTGTATAAACCTTTTTCTTAATGTGGGAACATCAATATTTAGAATTTTCAACTTTCAGAATGAAATTATTCTTTTTTTTTTTTGGTACCAGGAATTGAACTCAGGACCTTGCACTTGCCAGGCAGGCGCTTAGGCCACTGAGCCATATCCTCAGCCCCAAAATTATTCATATCTAAAAGCAATAACCACTATGAATTATAAAATACTTCTCTGGAAAGACTTACTTTATATAAAATATACAAAAACAATATTGGCTAGTATAATATGAATCAATTTTTTTTTTTTTTTTGGCTGCTGTTTCGGTTACTTTTCTCATTGCAGAGACAAAATACCTGACACCCAAAGTTAAAGGAGGAGAGGTTTATGCAGCTCACAGTTTGTAGATATTTCAGTCTATAATCAGCTGGCTCCAAGGAAGGGTGATGTGGCAGACAGGTATTGCAGAGGAGAAGCAGTTCATGGTGGGCAGAAGGTAGCAAAACAAGCAAGGGACCTTAACAGTGCGTTTCTGTGCCTTTTACCTTATCCGGGCTACCCACCCTTTTAATTCTAGTGCCCTTGATCCCAGCATTGCACCATGAGTCATACACTCTAGACTCAGCCACCTCTGAAAAATCCCCACCTATGGCTGCAGGAGGCTCTGAGAGGACAGCTACACACAAGCCTAATAGCTGTATTAGGATACTGTCAGGCTAGGTGGCTTCTGCAAAGAAGTATTCTCATCCTATGTTTTATATTTTAGTTGTATTGCTTTACTTTTTTTACATTTTGCCTTAAATGAAAAAACATGATGTTCTTTATGTATATATGAAGTAAAATTTTGTGAATCTTTAGTTATTTACTAGATAAAGCTATGGTGCTTATTCATCAAGGTAAAAATAATTTACATCCGTGTATTCCAGTGCAGACCTACAGTTAAAAAAAAAAAAACTAGGTCTGAGGATGTAGCTCAGTGGTGTAATGTCTACCTAGCAAAGATGAGGTCCTACATTTGATTTCTAGCAACAGAAAAACATACAAACACATGTGTACACACACACACACACACACACATATACATCTATATATACAGGTGAATGAACAATTTCAGTAATAATTTCTAGGTCAATATTTAATGAAAATTCTCCTACCACCTTACTTTACTTCCCCCTTCTTTTATTTTTTATTTTTTAAAATTATATAGTGTATTCCATTTTTATTTTACTTAAAAACTATACCCCCTCTTGTTTTAAATCCTGGTGGAGAGAAAAGAGAAAATAAATAAAGAAAAAAATATGCATATACGTATACACAGGATAGCTAAGATAGTTGTACTACTTCTATTACTTTATTGAAAAGAATAGTTAATGTTTAATTGTTTGATCAGTCTTACATGCCTATATCTGTTTATCTGAGTAGCCAATTTGAAGATATAAATATGTAATACAACCACTATTAATTTCCTATCACCTTGTCTGAAATTCTGAATTGTTTGTATTGTTTTTGTGTTATTTTGTAAATGTCTGTGTGTTTGTTAATATGTTTTCATTCCTTTATCTTTAAAATAATAAATAAATAAATAAATAAATCCTGGTGTTACAGTCATGTGCTTGCTTTTTCCTGGTTGAAATATTGATAAGCTATCAGATGGCCAGGCCTAAGATGACAGCTTCTGCTTCAGATTATGAATCTTAACTTATCTATGACTCATATTTTCTGCTTATAGATTCCAGTATGATAGCTATAGTTCAGTTGCACATTTATTTCAGTGTCACTTTCCCTCTTCAACTTGTGGTTGTAATTATAACAAAGAGAAAATTTGGGTTTTAAATATATAGTAAATAGGTCATTTTGTAGCACAGGTATTTTACATAGTTATGCAGTAGTTGGGAAGTACTGGTGAGGGTGTCCATTCTAAAGACAGGTGAATATGAACTGCTTCAGTAAGAAGAAAGGATAAATGATTGCTATCTCAGGTGCATTATTCTCTGGATCTATTCAGCCTGCCCAAGCACAGGTCACCAGGAAGCCTCCAAGAAGAGATTCTCAGGTTATATTGGAAGACAGTAGTGGAATTTACTAGTACAATAGTTGCACAACTGGGTCATGAAGACAGTTTTTAAAATATAAGATAGAGGAAAGTATCTAGGAAACACCAAGACTTAAGAACAGTGTCACTAATGTAGCTCAAAAACAGAATCAAAAACACAACTGTATGACACTTGGCACACATTTGAGTACAAATTTCAGACATATTACACAGGGACAGTATGGCAAGATAAATGAGAATGAGGTGAGGAAAGGAAGAATGAAAAGTGAAAAGAGAGAGACCTTATAGGAGCTGATGAAGACAATGTGTCATAAACTGGGAGTGTAAATAAAATCCTCCATCTCCTGCATCCCATAGGTTAGGAGATCTGCTGTACCTCTCCAAACTCTGACCTTCCACATCATACATCGGATCTCTGGCCTGAGGCTCCCAGAGAACAACAACTATGTGCAAGGTCTTCACCCTTCATAGCCTGAGGCATGAGGTTCAGCAGTTAATATAACTCAATTCCTTTCCAAAGAAGAACTCCAAGAACGCCACAGGAGCAACTTGGGGCCACGCAACTACATTTCCCAGAGATCCCTGGGCTGATTCTAACCAGACACCTGGGGCGGAGACTTCAGAAAGCCAATGAAAAACTTCTGAGGACTTAGGAAGAAGCAGGAGTTCTGCCTGCTTCCTGGTTGCAGTTCCGGAGCCCTGGGGTAAGTGGAGCTCCCGGACTGACTTGGTTTGTACTTTGTAATTGGAGTGAAGTCTGATCTCAGCAGAGAGTTTCAGAGACTAGATTCTATTTTGACTCTTAATTTCAAGTTCTAAACTTTCTTCAGAATGTTTGGATGGGAGATATGTGGGATCTAATGCTGTAAGTACTTTGGTATGTAGACCCTTGTTTCAAACCGAGTTAGAGTCCTAGCTGCACATTCTCCCAGTGAGAATTGAAGGAAATCATTTAGTTTCTCTCAAACTCTGTTTCCCCATTGGTAAAGTAGAAATGAATAGTATGACTTTCTTAAACGTTTATCATGAGGGTTAAGTAGGAATATTAAAAGATAGCTGCGTCTAAAGGAAATTCCTCCCCTAACTTTTCCTCATCAGTACTTTTCATAGTGATGTCCACCGTCCTAGATCTCTAACAGAGTGTATCCCACATGGCTCAGTTAATCCTACAGGGAGCAGTCTCATAACAATTGCTGCTTCCTTAAATTAATGGTTTAGAAATCTCCCAGTGATCTCAAGTATCCAGGAAGGCTGGTGGATATTATCTGTAATCACTAGAGGAGTTCTTGGGGAAATTTTATACATTGGAAGGAGGCTTAGTTGGGAGGGTCTCCAAGAGCTGTCAGTGACCATTTTCACATTTAGTCCCTTTAGGTAGGCATCATCCAGAGCACAAACAAGACAGTATAGCAGCAAGAAAAGAGCCGCAGGAGTTAGTAGCCTGGTAGATGCTGCTCTGGCCTCTGACAGGATGCCCACAGTGTCCATACACTTCCTGGCTCCTTTCTGATACACTGTTCTTTCCTTACCGAGGCCCCTCCTTTATTGTCTCAATACTCTAAGGAGATGACTTCATCCTGTCCCTCTGAAGGAACTTTTTAACTGTCATCCTCTAGCTACTTCCTGCCCAGAGGCTTACTTAGTGTAGTCTTCCCTGACTGCAGCCTGAGCTGCAGTTTCGCTTTTGATTTGTCTTCCTTGTCTGCTGCTGTCACCCCTCAACACTGTCCCAGCTGCTGGGAGTCATGGCAGAGAGGCAGATGCCCTGTACACTGAGGAGGATAGTTGAATCATGCGCTTTGCATATGGCCAGCAGAGCTGGAACTTTTCCACCCAGATTCTCTAAGGGCTTGTTAGGTGTGGTGTCATTGCTAAGCATTTCACTGTGGAAAAGAACAAAGAAAACATAGAAGGAAGAGAGAAAAATACACATGCAGGTCAGAAGTGACTCACTACTTCTCCTTGGAGTTTCCACTCAGTAATGACAGAAGTCCACGCAGAAGGTGCAGAAGATTCCATCTCAGGCCCCAACTCCTACATGAGTGCTGCTTGTAACCTTAATTTGACAGCAGCATCTTATGGGAGGTCTCCCTCTGGATCAGTCTCCTTTTAATTCCTCTGTACTTGGCTCCTGCTCACACCTGCATTTTGGAAAATCAAGGGGTTTTTTTAGCCAAAACTAAGAACCACTGTTGCACATGAAAGAGGCAGAGAAACTAGGACTGAGAATCAAACAATAGGTTCTGCTTGTCAAGCTACTCTTGACAGTCTTGTGATGGAAGTGCTGTGTCATTTAGGGATCAGTTGCATCAGTTTGTCTAATGACAATATATTGACCACAGGCCCAGATAACATTTGTAAGATCTGCAGAAGTGAGCTAAACATTCACAGGGGAGCAAGACCCTCTAGAAGTTGCTTCCTTCTGTATGTTTCAGCTTTCTGCTCCCAAAATGAACACCAAGGTGACCTGAGTTCAGTTCCCCCACACTGGACACTGGGACAATGATCAATGTGCTAGTGACTGAGGGAAATTCTGGGAGAAAGTCAGCTGTGCCTTCATGTTAATTATTGATTCCAAGTTTGTTCCGTGCAGCTCAGTAGTATGCTCTTGTCCTTCCAGCTGGTGGAGAGGCTGAAGTGAGAGGGTTGCAAGTTCGAGCCCAGACGGCGCAACTCAGCATGACCTTGTTTCCAAAAAATTAAAAGGGCTGAAGCTGCAGCTCAGTGGTCGAGTATTTGTATACAATATGTGAGGACCTAGGTTCAATACCAATTATTGAAAAAAAAATCAGTCCAGACTGAAGGCAAAGCAGCTCCGCTAAAGGACCTTGTTCCAACAAGCTATTGTCCCTGGGCTTCTCTGACGGGACAATAATCTCTGCAAATCCAACAATCAGCAAAACAGGGCAAGGCAATTTCAGGAGCGCTTGGTCCTCCAAGAGAATCTTATGTACAGGCCCTTCACGGTAACAAGACAGGCCGGACCAGGGAAACAGGCAAGTGGTAACAGAAATATAAAGGATTGCGGTGTCTTAACAGAAAGCATTTTCCCCCACACTAACTTCAGTCCTGAAGATTCATCACCCCCATATGCCCTCAGCAGTCCCCTAACCAGAATTCATGATTCTGTTATCTTTTCATACCCGTGATGGAGAGGAAGCTCTAGGGGTTCCATGTGATTCTCAGTGTATTTAATTATTTTTCTTAAAGTACTTTAGACTGGGAGTGTACTCTGATTCTTTCATGGCTCTATTTCTCCCTCTGATTATACCTACGTGATTCTGCTTTACAGTTCAATAATTTAACGTGACTGTGTTCTGTTATGAAAATTGTCATTGGAAAACCAGTGGACTGAACATTTCCACTGCTTATGTTGTCAAGGTGAACAATAAAAGGATACTCGATATTTCTCCTGTCAGAGGCCACCAAGTAACTTTCACTCTACCAAGTACATTTTTTTGTTGCTTTCTGTGGATTTCTTATAAAAGTCTCTCTTTCCTCTTCTCCTCCTCTTTGTCCCCCTCTTTTCCATCCCCATTTCCCGCCTTTAACATTGAATTGCTTGGAGTCTGCTGTTGTCTAATTCCTGAATTGCAGTCTACTCCAATAAGCTCTTTAGAATGTTCATGTACCTGAGTCTGTCACTTAACAATTCCCGTGCTGACAGTACTGGATCAGATCTTCTCAGTCTGGTCCTTCTCAGTCTTCAGATTTAATTTTCACTTACTTCTGGTTCTGCAGAGCTGAACTAGATTTTTCAGCAGCCTATCAATTCATCATCCAACACTCACAGCAATTCTTCATGGTGGCCTGTGTCTTAGTTTTCCTTTTGATTTCCTTCTTCACTGGCCACTAAAGGGCAAACACATTATCAGAACCACTTATAGCTTTTGTCCTTCTCAAATTCTTTCATGTTCGAGGTTGTCTTTATATTTATGTCTCTATCTCAATTCACATAACCCTAACAGTAATACTTGAGCATTGGACTTTCCTGCAGTGCTTTGTAGACATTGCTCATTTACCTCATTTTAGATATTTCTGTAGAACATTCTGCTGCCTACCTGGTATTTTCTTTATCCCGAAGTCTGTTCTTTCTCTACCATATGCTTCAGTAATTCTTTTTAATTTTAAATTTCAAAAATTTAACAAGAATGTATTTCAGTGTCAAGCAAGTATAATCATACTTTCCTGAATTGTCTTGTCATCTCCTACTGTTTCATTTCTGGAAAATTTTAGATAGATAGATAGATAGATAGATAGACAGACAGACTGACTGATGATAGATAGAGATATAGCTATATATATAGCTATATCTTTTATGTCTTTTGTATTACACCTTTGAATTCTCCTCTCCAGAAGCACGAAGTGCATTGTCTTTGTAACTGTTTATTCTGGATGTTTCTCCAAACCTTCGTGGGAAGTGATGGCATCATAGGGGTCTCACGTTCAGCAGTGCATCAGTCCCCTGATGAGGTCATAGCCAGGTGTCATGTGAGGAGGTGAAGCCAGGTTGGAGCAGGTGGTCCACTGGGAACCTGGCCTGGAACGGTCCATCTCCCTCCTTCCTCCCTTGATCTCTCTCCCTCTCTCTGCTTCCAGTCACCATGCCATGAGCTCTCTCTCCTCTGCCAGGCCCCCCTGCCATGCTGCCCTGTCTTGGAGCCAGCTGACTATGGACTGAAACATCTACAAACTTTGACCCAATGTAAACGTTCCTTCCTTTCATTTGTGGATGTTGTGTATTGTGTCTCACTAATGGGAAAGTATCGCAGTCTTCTTTCCGCTGTTATTAGCTTCTGCCTGACCTTTGGAATGGCTACTTTTTCATAATCTTTTACTCTCAATATATATTTTTTTTTCTTAAAATTACTTGGGAGGGCCTGGGGATTTAGCTCAGCGGCAAAGCGCCTGCCTGGCAAGCGCAAGGTCGTGAGTTCGGTTCCCGGTACCGGAGAAAAACAAAAAAAAACAAAAAAAGAGAAAAAATTACTTGGGATACTTTGTATACACATCTATATCTATACATATGTATAGATATAGATACAGTACTCTCTTTATCATTACTTATGTATTACCTCTGTGTTCAGTGAATTTTCTGTGTTCTCAAATCTTTCTTTTCACAAACCAGATTATTTTTCACCTTTTTTATTAACTTTCTTAAATAGGTCCATTTTTAAATGCTGTATCCTGCCATGTTCCTCAGAAGAATTTCTTTCTATTCATTTTTCTTCTTGCACTGGTTGCATTTTTTGGCATGTAAGTTTTACATGTTACATCTTCTCTTTTAATCCCAGTGTCATACTATATTTTGATCGGTTTTTGCATCATATTCCTGTGCATAGAGCTGTGTCTCCACTGAGTTTTCTCTGAGATCATTTCTTCTGTGTTCTGTCCCTGCATCCCCAGCTATAGCTTCTGTCCCATCTAAGAGAAGCCAGGTGTTACCACCACGTACTGCACTTTGCTGTATCTGCTAAATGCATTGGTAGTAACCACCGGCATGGAACATGCTTCAATCTGCCTTCCTGTTGCCATAGAAATCATCTGAATGGTGGCTTCCACGATGCCTTGGAGGGGCTTCCCGAACTCTGAGCTTACACCTTTCAGGGTGCCTTCCATCTCCCATCATATTACTTCCTGCACCCTTGCCAGGGAAACTCCGTTGTTCACCGTTTTGTCAGCTCTGTCTGTTCTTGCTGATTACATGTTCTTTATAAGTGGTGGTCAGTGAAACTACCCTTTAGTTTTTGAAGAAAACATCATATGTATTTTTTGCAACTATCTTCCTGATCATTTTTAGAATTTGTGCCAGATAGAAGAAATATTCTGAGACTTCTGAACTAATACTGACAATCCACCAACATTGAGCTTAGCAGAAGAGTACAAAATGCCTTCCTAGGGGTTCTCAATGGGCTCTGTGAGTGCGCTCGCTCTGCTTTCCAGAACTGTCCTGTGTCAGTGGTCAAACTGAATCGAAGCTCTGTTCCTGCACAGAGATGTTACCAATCTATGTGGAAAGCAAATAATGTTTTCACTCATCTCTTTCCGTGGCAGCTACTTTCCTAGTGCCTTCTCATTGCATCATATTTTAAGAATACAAAATGTTTAACATTTATTCACAGAATACCATAATTTGCCTACAGCATGTTGTTAGTATAGAGATTTCCTAACAAATACTGACTTCAATCTAATGGACCTGAAATTATTAAATTCCCCAGTGCAATACTTTATCATTAAAAGAGAGTACCAAAGCCACCACAGTAAAGAGGGGTGGGATTAGTGATGAAGGTTCACAGAGGAAAGAACAAAAGCTTGAAAACAAATTGTACAATTTGCAAGGAATAGTAGGGAATGGTCGCTGAAACAATAAGTGGTCCATTGTGTATAACGCACATTTTTCTCTAGGTCAGTGTTCACCTCTCTTCCACATATATTCTGTAGATTCTGGTGAAGGAACCAAAGAGGTACTGGGGAAGTTTGGCCATTCTTATTCTCTGAGCCAGATTGCTAGAGATTTAGTTTGTACAAATGTGAAGAGAAGGTGGTGTAATTAAGGATAAAAAGGTATGCAAAGGTTCCGATAGATTAATGGGAAATGTAAACATAAAGAACATATCCTCAGATGTAATTCACTAATTTTTCAAATTTTAATGAAGCTTTATTCCCTCTTTGGTCTTGTGGATTAGATTCGAGCACAAAGGCCCAAACAGTGCTTGATGAGTGAATGAATGAATGAATCAAGCAATCAATGACTGAATCAGTGTAAATCTTTAAGTGGAGAAATGATTTTTTTTTAGCTAAAGAGTAACTTAAGAGAGTGAGTTTCTATAAATACCGTCTACTCTGCTGAATAATTTACCTGCTCCTCTGAGGTAGTGGTTAGAAGCCTTATTTATTTTTTATTCATCTATATTCATTCATTCATTTATTTGCGATGAGGTCTCTCTGAATCATTCAGACTGGCCTAGAACTCACAGTGGCCCTTCTGCCTCAGCATCCTGAGTGCTGGTATTATAGGCGTGCATCACTATGCCTGCTTTAGAAGCCTATTTTAATGTATACTAACTAGAATATTTTTTTTTATTTTCTTCTATCAATGAGAAAACCACATATAAGGTATTTATCTTTTTGCTCATTATTTCACCTCTACTTGTAATATCTGATACTGGAAAGTTGAAAGAAATTATAAAACATTTGTGCTAGGGTCACTGAGAATATTCAATGAAATTAGAAATGTAAATTAATTCATATGGAATTATTATGCATATTTGTAACCATTGCTTATTTTTACATGTTTAAAATGCATTCGAGCTATAATTATACTTCTGAAAATCCTAGCACAAAAGTAGTAACATTTCTTCTTGGTTTCTTTTCCTTGCTCAGGGGACCATGGATATTGAAGCGTACTTTGAAAGAATTGGTTATAAGAACTCTAAGAAGAAATTGGACCTGGAAACATTAACTGACATTCTTCAGCACCAGATTCGAACCATTCCCTTTGAAAACCTTAGCATGCATTGTGGAGAATCCATGGAGCTAGACTTAAAGGCTGTTTTTGATCAAGTTGTGAGAAGGAACCGGGGTGGCTGGTGCCTCCAGGTCAATCATATTCTATACTGGGCTCTGACCACAATGGGGTTTCAGACCACAATGTTGGGCGGATATGTCTACAACACCCCAGCCAATAAATATAGCAGTGGTATGATTCACCTTGTAGTACAGGTGACCATCAGTGGCAGAAACTACATTGTTGATGCTGGCTTTGGACGCTCCTATCAGATATGGGAGCCTCTAGAATTAATTTCTGGGATGGACCAACCTCAAGTGCCTGCCATTTTCCGCTTGACAGAAGAAAATGGAATCTGGTACTTGGACCAAATCAGAAGAGAACAGTACATTCCACACCAAGAATTTCTTCATTCTGATCTTCTAGAAATGGGAAAATACCGGAAAATCTATTCTTTTACTCTGGAACCTCGAACAATTGAAGATTTTGAATCGATAAATACTTACCTTCAGACATCACCAGCATCTGTGTTTACAAGCAAATCCTTTTGTTCCTTGCAGACACCTGAAGGGGTTCATTGCTTAGTGGGCTGGACCCTCACCTCTAGGAGATTCAGTTATAAGGACAATGTAGATCTGGTAGAGTTTAAGACACTGAAAGAAGAAGAAATAGATGAAGTATTGAAAACTGTGTTTGGTGTTTCGTTAGAGAGAAAACTTGTGCCCAAACATGGTGATCGATTTTTTACTATTTAGGGTAAGCAGCAGCAGTGATCTTCCATGCACTATATATAATCAAACTTTTGTCATAAAAATTTCAAACATGAAATGTGTGATTGATGGAAAAATAGGCCCTGGTATGTTGAATATCAAGATCACCAATGATGAATGGATGATTTGTTGTTTCCTCCCCACCCTTTGGACATGGTACAATTTATCCATTAAATGTCAACATGCATAAAGGAATGATGTTGGAGACCAGGCTGTGTAAGGGTTAAGCTTCTGAACACAGTGCTCTCTGAATATATTGGAAAGCTCCTACTGAGAGAGCTCTGAAGTCAAGATAATACCACAGCTGATACAGCCAAGCACTGGACTCATGACAGTCCCTATAGAAGAGCAATAAAATTGTCAACCTTAGTGATGAGACAGTTGTCTTAAATGACAAAAGTTACCGTTTGGAGAAGTCTTTGAACAAATTTCCCAATGTCCTGATCAGTTCCTACCTGGCCTCAGTATCCTCTTCCTTTGTTTGAAAATCAAATAATTATGAGCTGTAATGGGAAGCTCTTTTTGTCGTCTTTTTGAGACAGGATCTTCCTATGCAGTTCAGGCCAGCCTTGAACTCACTTTGTAGCCCAGGCTGGCCTTGAACTCACAATGATCCTCCTGCCTCAGCCTCCTGAGTGCTGCAATTACAATGTGAGCCACCACACCCAGCTGTGAAGCAAGAAGCTCTTGTCTTTACTCCCAGAGAGTTTTGTCCTTCCTGGAGCCCCTAAATCATATTCCATTGTCTCTGTTTATTTAAGCCATTCATCAGACACTTGTTTTAGGAGATCAGGCTAGGTCAAGTCACTGATAGAATAACTTTTTAAAGGAACACCACCACACATTTGTAAGATTATACCTGAATATTTTTAGTGATAATGTGGCTATCATGTGACCCACACTGATTCACACTAGAAAATTTCTTAACACTGGTTAATTGTTGAATTCACAACAATATATATTGATAGCTGAGTAAAGAAAACAGTGAGAAAAATTGTTTCTATTAAGTTCAAGCAATTATATTTATTAATCTAATTTTTTAAAAATAGCACCTGTGTACTTAAGATTCAAATGCAATAAAAAAGAATGAGACATAATGAAATCATAAATAAGACATTGTGATTATGTTTCAAGAGAGTGACACAGCAAATAATTTCTCCCAGGAGTTTTTATAACCACATTTCTTCATATACCATTTTTCTTAATGTAGAAACAATAATGTTTAGAATTACTGACTTCTAGATTGAAATAATTTATGTCTAAAATAATAATTATAAATCACAAAGTACATATCACCTAGACAATTTATGTTTTAAGAAGTACATTAGAACATTCTCAGCTAATATGTGAAATAAGATTCTTATTTGAAAATATTAGGAAACTATGTAGTAAGTGTCTTTTACAAGGAAATCTTTGGGGCTGGGGATTTAGCTCAGCGGCAAAGTGCCTGCCTGGCAAGCACAAGGTCGTGAGTTCGGTTCCCGGTACCAGAGAAAAACCACACACACAAAAAAACAATACAAGGAAATCTTCATGCTCTTTTTAATGTACTTGTGTTATGTATTTACTTTCTTCCACATTTTGCCATAGGTGAAAAATACATCAGTTCTTCGTGTATACCCAGCCTCCAAATACTCTGGACATAGAGAGAATTATTCACTAAATCTGCAGATAAAATTCCTCCAAGGCATAATGAGTATCATCCATGTATGACAGAGTATCAGACCTAGATTAAACACTAAGTAAACATTTTTGTACAGATGAATAACATCAGTATGCTTGTAATGTATTAGTAGTAAGTGACCATTTAATGGAAGTTTGTCCTTGCTGTATCGCATCTGTAACTGTATGTCTCTAGTGCATTATTTCACTCTCACTTGAACTCCTGATACCACTCTCACTTGCCTGCTTCGTGCTTGACAAATTGACAAGATTCGAGATGCCCAGCATCTCAGAGCATAACTTACGCTTCAGCATCAGAATAATACTTTAATAAAATTAATGTGTTTAAGCATGGATTGCAGAGTGAGGAGGTGGTTTAGTGCAGGCTTGTCAATACATTACTCTCTTCAACTTGTGGTCGTATTAGTGAGGTGAGGTGGGAATCAGGAACTAGAATGGAGGATTGTTTATTAGGAGGATGGGTTATGCTGAAGCTTGTGCATTTTGTGTAGTCAAGTAATAGATGGGAAATAGTGGTGGGGAGGAGATCTCCTAGGAGAAATGCACATGAGCAATAGCCTGAATGGGAAAGAAAGATGATAAACATGTTCATATATGACTCTTTACCGGACAGACCTTGGGTTCTGCTTCACCCTTTTGGCAATTTCTGGTGGCTTCTTGTATACTTGAAGAGAAATCAGTTTCTTACATTCTGAGCATGCTAATAAAAAGACATACTGAAGAGATCAAAGAAAGGCTCAGGGAGAATTAAGCCCATTGCTTTATACGGTGAGTATCCTAAACCTTCTTAACTATATGTATTGCATAAGGGAAAAAAGCCAAGCATTTTTAAAGAGACTCAGATGAGACATAAGTAATTGAAGAGAATACGTCTTGTCAATCTGGCCAGAATTTTTTAAGGTGCCTCTCCATTCTTTGTATTTATGCAAACAGCTATCTCTACTTTTGGCAGATCTTTGAGGTGTAGAATGTGATTTCCTGTCAGAATCTCAGGACCAGTAACGTAGAAGCCAGATCCTCCAGATGAGTCTAGGAGGGGTCAGGTGTTGAAGATGCTTCTCAGTTCCTTATGTTTTCATGATGAAGCTGTGTTTGGGTGTTTATTTCCAATTCTGTCTACACTAATCCAGGGAGAGGAACTGTAAAAAATGCGTATCCTCACACCTGGACGGACCCTTTGACACCTGGAACAGAGCTTCGTGTAATGGACTCATTTTATATTTGCTTCATTTATTTCTGTGGTATAGGGCCACTCAAGATTGCAAAACCTCATGCATCCAAAGAAGTTCTAAGAACAAAGTTTGTAGCAATAAGTGCCTTCATTAACAAAGAAAGACTGCAATGAACAATCCAGTATTATATGACCTGGTACAGGAAAAACAAGAACTAAGTTAATAGAAATTAATAGAACAAGAAAATTAAATTTATCCAAAATTAATAGAACAAGAAAAAAAGTCACAGGAGTCTTTTTTTTGAAAAGTTAAATGATATTGATAAATCCATAGGAAGACTAGAAAATAGTAAAGGAAAAACCACAAAGTCAACATTTATATTTCCTGATAAAAAATTTTGAACAATTTTGGTAAAAAGGAATGTTCCTCAACATGTAAAAAGCCATACATGACAAAGCCAAAGTGACTGTATACTGTATATCTCTTAAAGAGCTAAAAAAAAAAAAAAAAAAAAAAAGGATTTTACATGTTTTTACCAGCTAGAAGTGATACATATTTAAGCTGTGGAATATGTTAATTAGCCTGATTTGATGATTCTACAATGTCTCCATGTAATGAAACAATGTATTTTGCCCCATAAATGTATACAATTTTTATCAATTTAAAATAAAACTTTAAAACTAAATGAATGATCTCAATGATTAATAATTAGGAATCTAGTTACTACTACTCCCTAAGAAATTGCCCTCGCTAGTACCTTGAAATAATTGTTTTTTCTGCTCACATATTCTTGGACTCTGGAATTTAGAAGAACAAAATAAGACAGCTCTTTTCTTCTCTCCAGTGTACAGGCAGAGCAAAGAGGACTCCTTTTACTGGCAGTGATTTATAGTTCTGCTCTAGAATCATCTAGAAGCATCTTTACCAGCATGAGTGTCACTAAGATTGAACTAGCATGGGAGATGCTCCATGTGGCCTCCAGGTATTGTGGGCTCCCTCAGAGCAAGGTGGCCTGAGGGTAGTCAAATTTTCTAAGATGTAATTCTGGATTCTACATCTGATTCTCTCACCTTACAAGGTAGAAGGTGAATCTTTTTATTTATTTTACTTAATATTATATAATTCACATTACATAAAACTATTCTAAGTGAACAACTAATCAGTATTTAGAATATTTGCAAGGTAGTGCAGCCACCACCTCTGTCTTGTTTCAAACACTGTAATCTGACCATTTAGTCCATTTAATGACTCCTTTCCATGAATAGGTTTGAATCATCTTTTATGATATAGCTTATATAACATCATTTGTGCCCCATTCTCTTGGCTGTATACAAACAACACAGCCTTCTAGAGTGAAGAACAGGGAACATGTCTTCATTTTTAATTTGAAAATATGTTTAGATTATCTTAGAAGTAAGACTTTTTTGTGGTCATCTTTGGAGTAACCTGTGAAAGACAATTCTCTACTGAGAAAAATTTACATTTTTCACATATATAAAATATACTTTCACCATTCCAAAATGCTCCCCAAATCTCTCCTCTCTATGGCAGCAATTTCTCATCCCTAATGCATTGGGCATGTAGGACGTAGAGAGAGACACAAAGGCCAAGAACCAGCCAGATATCTCTGAAAACTAGTCCTTTCCTAGAGAAGCCTTGATACTAGTGATAAATTTACTCACCATAAGCAATTTACAGTCATCAACAAACAAGACAAATTATTAAAAAGGAAAGAAAATGACAAGACACAGAAGCAAGATGCAACCCCATACTCCCAGCCCACCCAAGGCATGTTCAGGGGACAGTGAAGGGAAGTAATTCAGAAGATACCCACCTGAAATTTCTGAAATGGTGGTAGTGGAAATAACAAAATGAATGAATGAGACTATAGAAAAAATAAGGTCAGAAATAATTTTTAGTTTAAAAAAGAGATTATGATCCCAGTGAATGACTTGGCTAATGAATCTAGAGTAGATACAAATTAAAAAAAAAAAATAGACTAGCTTATGAAAACTATGAATTCCCAACTTAGGAGAGAAATGGAAACCACACAACAGATTCAAAACACTAATTTTAGGAAAATAAAAATCCTGTTGAATGTGTATCCATCAGAATGAGCCAATGTAAGGACAGGATATCAGCTCTAGAAGATAGGATTGCAATAACAATCACAAAAAAGAAAGATTTCTTAAAAACAACAAGGTACCATAAAAAGCCAATCCAACACCTGCAAGGTGATGCAAAGAAGAAAAACATAACATTGATCAGAGTCAACAAAACAGGAGACAGTGCAAATGACATTTTAAAAATAACTGTGCACAGAAGTAATGGCAGAAAACTTCCCCAGCATGGAAAAAAAAATTGACCTGTAGATAAGTGAGCCATAGAGAACTCCAGTTAGTCATGACCAAAAAAAATCTACACTAAGGCATGTAATAGTCAAGATTCCAGAAATTGAGAATGAGAACAGAGGAATAAAAGCTGTTAGAGAAAAGGAACAAATCACCTATAAAG